ATATTATTTATGATTTTAACTTTATACACAAGTGCCAAAATACTATAATCAGAATTTCCTTATTATTTATTGAAACACAAAACCCACAGTTATGAGTGTTCAAACTAGTTTTTAACAAAAAACATTTTCATACAGTACTATATGAAATGTTAAAATATTTTACCAATACAAGTTGAGAAATGGTTGAAATATGGAGTCAAAGATAAAGAAATATATGTGATCATAATTAGGCAAATGATATGTTAGTGTTGATATGAGGTGAATTTGTGGTATCTCAAAAGTGTTTTCATGTATATGGCTCTGTTTTATTCTTGTTACATGTTCTGTAATTTATGAAATTATTTTTAATTCATCTGATAATGCCTGTGGAGTTAATGCTAGTGCCCAAACATTAGAAGATTTGTTTGCATCTGTGTACATACTACTACCGTGGTTTATTTTTGTGGATTTGCTACATCAAATTCTACATCACACTTAGCTTAGAATCAAATCAGCTGTGCAAAATTCTCTTAGTCAAGATTAAGATAATAAAATTAAAGAAAATAAAACTGAATATAAATACATAAGAAAAAGATTCAAAACCTGAAAAAAAAAGAATTGAAAAGAGACCGGGGAAAATACTATTATAAAGTAGACATTTAGTGACCTTTATGACCCAAATTAACATATCCCCAACTGAAATGAAATTATTTTGATGCATCATAAAACTTAAAACTAGAATAAAACAAATCCATATGTGTGAAAACCTTATTAAATAGTTCCAATTTACCTCTTATACCAAACTTAAGAATTGCCAAGGGGAGAGACATACAATTTAATTTCTTTGAACTAAAGGTTAGTTGCACTATCCTGTTAATGATATCAATCAACCAGGATCTTAACTACAATTATAGGGAAATAAATGTAGGGGGCCCAATTACTTTTTCTGCTGGAGGGTCCATTTTTTGGAGTTATGACATTGCATGAAACACTGTGTAAAGATGTTTCCTTTTAAAAACTAGTTGGAAAACTCAAAACTGTGTATTTGGTATTATTGTAAATGATGAGGGACTTGCAACATTTTTAAAAACATTTTTTTCAGTAGTAGATTGATTTTCTTTTTCAGAAATAACACTGTATCAAGTAAAATATTCAAATAGAATTATAATCCACATGAAATTCTCCTATACTTAGAGTAGTCAAACATGTCAAAATGGCTTTTTATAATCATTCTATTTGCATAATGTTTGAAAATCTTTATTTGTACACAACAGCTATTATTTATATTCCCATTGACCTGATACCTGAAACTGGTGTCAAAATATTCCATTTTTCCTATGCAATTCAGTAAGGTACTGCTTCAATATTAACTGTGATATATTTGGTCACTGATGTTTCCAGTCCTCCATTTTTAAATCTCAATTCAAAAGTTATTGCTGAACAAAATTTGGCTCATTCCCCCCCAAACCTGTTGTGCTTTACTTCTATTTTGAATACTCTTGTTCAACACTAGAATTAAACTTTAGATTTGTTTTTTGTGATAACTACTCATATTGAAAGCCATGGGAAAGGGCTTGGAAAAATCAGCGTGGAAAGAATTCAGAAATAACACTGTATCAAGTAAAATATTCAAATAGAATTATAATCCTATAATTACTATAATTTCTTGTTCAACACTAGAATTAAACTTTAGATTTGTTTTTTGTGATAACTACTCATATTGAACTAAAATGGATAGCTGAATTTGAGTTTTAAGCTCATTTGAGCCAATGTACAACTTCTGTAATTTTGTATTAAGGAGAATCATACATGTAAATCTGTAGAACTGCCATACAGTTTTTATTGGCGAGAATCCAGATCTTTTTACCTCATACTAAGAAATTTTTAGCGTCATCATTTTAACTTTTATTCAAAGATTTAACATTTTTTCAGTCATTTACAATATCCACTTCTTCATTTTAAATAGCCATTTTGTTTAGCTGCTTTCTATCAGCATGTAATTATGTTAATCTGAGCTAAGGTACAGATAAATTTAAAAATTTTAAGTAACTCAGTTTTTGTAGTTTTGACTTTCCATATCACTATAGCTAGCTAGGTTATGTATATATTGATCCTTGCTTGTAATTATAAAATTATTTTTTTTTATTATACTTTTTTGAAATTATGATCCCTGGTTCTATATAACCAAGGATTTGATGACACAAAGAAAGATTGTAATGTGAATGAAATAGCCATAAAGAGTATATTTTTCATAATTCTATTAAGTGTTTAGAGTAGATTTAAAATTGTTATTTTATGAATTTACCAAGTAGCATCTGCTTTATTATTAAGGAAAAGCCTGCCTTTAGGATTAGTTCAGAATGGATATTTGGATCATGTTCTGTATAAATGTAAACTCAATTATTAAAGAAACTTTGATTCTGAACCAATCCTACCAAGCAGACTCTCCATTGAAAATAAGTAAGGAAGTAAAGAATTAATTGAACATATACCAAGCGATCCCTTTGTGTATCAGTTGATATTTTTATGGTTCTCATAATTTATTTAAAAGACTACCGAGTATGCACCTCTCTCTCTCTAATCTGTATCTTGTGTTTGCTGTCCAGCAAGTTTGTTTTATTAACTACTAAAAATGACTTATTTCATAGTTTTTGATTTATTTAGCCATTCATGTCTTATTGACCTAGAGTTATTATATCTGTATATAGCTCTTCTTACAAATTGTTTGTCTGTTTTTTGGAATTAATATATTCTTAATGTTATATGACTGATTTCCAAACAAGTTTTCAAAGATAATGCTTACTTTCCACTCCAAAGGAGTAAAACTGTTTTTAATAGTATAACAAAGTTACAATAAATTCTAACTGATGTGAGATAAAATATTACATCTCCATCAGAGATTTATCAAGCAAAAGGCCTATAGTTTATGTTATATTTCTTTTATAGTTACTTTAACAAAAGGTTTATAGGTGTATGATAAAACATATTCATAAGAAACTCCAAATGATTTGAAATAAAATATGTTTCTGTCATAGTTGTTTCAAGTGTCAGATCCAGTTCTCAGACTTATAGGTTTATTGCTCAGTGTCATCAGATTCTACAATAATCAGCATTTAGCCTGTACCTCAGGAACGAGGATTGCCTCAAACCCAGGTTTTAGTTTGTAAACCTGAGAAAAAAAGGTTGCCTCAAAGACAGGCTTTTAAATAGTCGCTAAGAAACGTTTGTCTACTTCATCTAAAAATTATAATTTACTTTGTAATAATTCTTATTATTTGTGACTGTAATTAGGTTATTTAGAGCAAAATCATATTTCTTTCTTACCATACTACCCTTAGCATTTATTTAAATTCAGTGAGTCAAATAATTATTTCTCCAGTGAACATGAAAAGAGGTGAAATAGAAAAAGAAAGAAAGAATACTTAGGCATCTGTTTTATGCACCTTGTTTCATGTTAACTTCAGTTGTTTTTGCAATTAAAAATAATATATGTAATGTAAAATTCAGATCTGGTACTGAACTTTTCCTTTCTCCTTGTCTTTGACACTTTCTGAGAACTTGATTTCCAGGAAGAGTCTCACACAAGTTTTCACACTTGTGACATTTTTATTAGTTTGTTTTGTAACATCTTGCATCAACTATTTTTGTTTTGTAAAGTTCAATTTCCATATAATTGATAATCTGGCTATACATCACTCTTACTAGGAAGTACAATGTAAATGATCCTCTTAGTTATTTTATTACAAGTAATTCCAATTAATTACAGGTTTCGAGCTCTACTGTACAATTCAAGAATAACAAGCAACCTTATCTTGTCATTTGAAATGTATAGGGGAGTGTTTTGTTCTAAAATGTTTTCTAAGTTTCTGTGAAATAAGTGAGGTCAAGAAAAGTTCTCAATATTAATTGTAATGTCTTAATTGAATACAGAAATGACATAACACTACCATTTTTTCTGTTATGTGTAACTGTTACCACAATTTCTTGCAGCGTTTCTACAAATATTATGACAAGTTAACAATGAAAGCTCTTGTGGACAGGAAGTTGGTGGCAAGAAGCCCTCCTTATTGGTTGATTTTTAAACAGGTGAAATATTATGCTGAAAATCACATTTTAAAGAAAATAAGTGAATATGGTTTCAATACAAAATGACTGAATTAATTCAGACTTTAACTATATTGATCTTACATTTTTACAAACATGTATGTATATTATTTGATACTTTTGACTAGTTACTCTGTTATTCTACAGAGACTAAATAGCTAGATATGTCTTACAAAAATCTCCTTTAGTTTAAGAGTGCATAGAAGTTTCTTACACTGCTTACCAGCTACTTGTTTGTATAAAATTAGTTAAGATTTCTTGTACCATCAGTAAATAATAATTATAATACTGTTAAGTGACTTGTTAGTGGAGCTTGTACAATCTCTCTTTTTATCAAAAGCAAATCTTTAAGCATTAAATAAACCTTATTTTACAAACATTACGATGACAACATTTAAAGCTTAGCTACATTCTCTTTTAATTACTTTCCCATATCTTTTGTTGTTGGTATCAAATCATACACGTGTTCTGTGTTTAATTAAATGTTTTGACCTGTGTTTATAGTGATAGTAGTTCAATATCAGGTTTAGCAATAATTAAAAGAGTAAAAATGAGATACACTAATGTGTTTTCCATTGTGCATTTGCAGTGATTGTTTTCTTTCCCAAATTTTAAATGATAATTCCATACATCCTTATGCTTATAATCGATGATGACACTTTGTTTTTGGCCTAGAAAGAAGCAGTGATTGGTTTAATGACTTGGAATCTGTGGTTCATGTCTTATTACTAAAAAAAAAATATAATGATAATAATAACAATCCACAATTTGACATGAATGCGTTATAGGAGTGAAAATCAAATCCCACATCAATCAGACAAGAATAGCCCAAGAGTTAGCAGGAGATGGTGTTAGCTAGCTGCTTTCCCTCTTAGTTCATCACTTGAATATTAGGGACAGCTAGTGCAGATAGCCCTCATGAAGTTGTAAATGAAATTCAAAAAACAAATATTTCATTTCATTTTCATAATGTAAGATACCTAACAGTTTCCACATGGGTATAAGTTCATGGCTTAGGTACATATACATTTAATGAGACTGTAAGGCCTCCTTCACTGTCAAAATCAAACACCATATTGTGAATACATGGGATTGTCAGTGAAAGTTGAAAAATCTAAGCAACCTATGCCCTCTTCAATACATCAACACAACTTAAATGTGATTAGTTTATGTAATTTCACCACTTTAGATATAGCTAAGTTTGGCATTCAATTATTACTGAAAGAAACTTTGTCAATTAAATAATGCCTTATTTATCTTAACAATCCACTGTTGTTATTCCAGTTAAATTCATTCTAATTCTCTTACATTACTTGCTTTTGTATATTCTTTCTGAATATTCCCACGAAAATCGTAAAGTTTCTTGCTTACTTTAAAAAAAACTGAAGATGGAACCTAAGTTATTACAAAACATTAATTAAACATGCTGTTACTGATGTTTTGGAGTTTTTGATTAAACTATGATTTTTGATACATGAATCTAGTGGTAGTAGTGTCATATTAATCTAACTGAATGGTTTTGTTAACTAAATGTGCATGGCATCGATTAAAATTATTGGAAAAGTAAGTTTGGCTATAATTCTGACTTTACAAAGTGTATCTTCACAAAATGTGACAAACGTTTAGTCAACAGCACAAGTATGTTATACATAAAAAATTAGATGTGTTGCTAAAGCTTCTGTACAAAACATATGCCTATTAAATGCTAAAATCAATTTAAATCAGACTGACAAATAATAGTGCAGGGTGAAGTTCATGTGAAGAATAAGAACACCTTTGTCAATATTATTTGCATATTGTACTTGCATAACTTGTACAGCCTCCTAAATGCATATCTACAGTTTTTTCTCGGCATCTCTGTATATTGTGTCTGTTGTTTTTCTTCTTTTGCATGATGAACTGTTACAAAATCAGCAACTTAGTATAACATGAAATGTTGATAACTGACATCAAATGGCTAATAATATATTGAATGGCACTCTGTACAAGGTCGAGGCATGCACACTTTGAACACCACCTGTACACATAGGGTTAAGCATAGTGTGAATACAGTAAAAAAGATACACAATATATTTATGTAGAAACTGGTTATCAATATTCCTGAACTTTAGCTGAAAATGTAAATATCAATTACTGACTAATTGTAATTTAATTATTATGAAATGTGATGTATTTACAGTATAAGTTTTAAAATATATTATGAGAACCTAGTGTGTAAGCTATGATTGAATCCTGTATGTGTATGTATATATATATATTATGAAAGGTATTTTATAGCAAAAATTAGTTTATAGGTTTCTTTACAATGCCAAGCTTTTTTATTATTATTACAGGTTAGTTCATAAGATACTTTACAATGAAAAGCCAAACTGTTTTTCTTTTATAATAAAAAATCAGTTTATAAATTAGTTTACAATACAAAGCTATATTGTAGCTATGTTTGTGGTACAACTCTGTGATTGGGTTATTTTTTCAAAACACAGATATATTGTTTGTGGGCTATTTTATAGTACAATATGTATGTCAACATGTAGGCTGAATTGTAATATAAGTCCTTAAATAAGTTATAATACAAATCCTTATTTATGTATGATACAGATGCATGAGTGAGTTATGTTAGAACACACATTTCTGTGTGTTATTCTAGGATACATATGTCTGTAGGTTATGTTAGAATGTACACGTTTTTGTAGGCTATTTTGAGACACATATATCTGTAGGTTATTTTAAGACATCTTAAGGCTATGTTAAGTCATATCTCTGTAAGTTATGCTATGATACATATCTTCATAAGTTATGTTAGGACACACATCTCTGTAGGCTATGTTAAGACACATCTCTTTAAGTTATGCTAGGATACACACACACACATCCTAGGATATACACACACACATCTTTGTAGGTTATGTTAAGACACATTTCTTAAGTTATGTTAGAATATACATCTCTTTAGGTTATGTGTGCATTTTGTTAGGATACATATCTCTATAGTTTATGTTAGATACACATTTGTTATGGATTTATCTGAGGATGCATTTTTATCTAGATTATGTTACAATACATTTTTTATGGGTTATGTTAGTGTTAACCCGTAAAGATAAAAACCTGATATGTAAGAAAGTAAAAATGCAAATGTTTAATGTAGCTACTTGTATTACACAATTTTGTTTTGTATTATAAAATTTTGATAATTTATTTGAAGCCTACATAAATAAAAAAGGTCTGTTTTATATTTATACACTTTTGTCTTGCAGATATGGCCTCAGTGTTTCAACGTGTTTTTTGTTTTTTTTGTCACACTGACCAATTTTCCAGCTGTTCTTATTAATATTTTCCCATTGGACCAAAATTTCATCCTTCCAAGTAAGTAACATTTTACTCTGAATAAATTAGACCCAGTATAATGTACTAGTAAACAACATCTTAGATCCAGTAGGTCCTTCAATTGTTGATTTACTGTTTTAAAGCTATTATATAGCTATACTAACCTCACAGCAGTAACTCAGGTAACTAAGAAAATTAATTCCAAATGATTTAGCTTTGAATTGTAGTGTATGCTTATTACTATTTTACAAAAAATGAGGTTTTCTTGAGCTTAGAGTTTTTATCTTTCTGCTAAATTGAGTCACAGATGTTTTTATATATATTCAACTGGAAGGGAATATCAATGCAGTGTGTGCTTTAAAATCAAGTGTTTTTTTATTAAAAGCTGTATGTTACAAGGAATTGAGCATTTTAGAGTATTAAGAAATACGTAGGATCATTGCTCAACACTGTACCATAGTAGTATTATCATGCACTAATACTGTTTTCATAATTTTAGTAACCCAGTTGTTTCACTATAGCACATTTATGACTGTTTCACAAAGGATTGTTGTAGTGTTTTTGTATAATTACAGATGATCCTAACTTAGTTCAGCATAGCAATCTCATAACTTTATAAATGACATTCTGTTTGAAAGGCATTGTCACAGTGTTATCGTGTGAAGTACTTTTTGAAGTAACCATGAATTTGGAAAGATATTACCACAGTCATATACATGGCTGTTAAGGTCAAATCTCTATAGTAAAACTGAGTTTTGAAACATAATGCCACAGTATTATAACCTGTAGTATTTTTAAGGTCAACTCTCTAAAGTAACCCTGAGTTTGAAAAGATATTGTCACAGTATTATCATATACAGCACTGTCATTTTTAACTCTCTAAAATAACCCTGAGTTTTAGGAGATGTTGTCATCTACAGTACTGTTAAGGTCAACTCTCAAAAGTAACCCTGAGTTTGGAAAGACGTTGCCATAGTATAATCATCTACAGTACTGTTAAGATCAATTCTCTAAAGAAACCCATCCCTTAGTTTATAAAGATATTGCCACTGTGTTAATCATATACATGAATATTAAGGTCAATTCTCTAAAACAACTTTGACTTTCTCTGAAATGAATTAAATTTAAATGAAACTTGATATAATGTTATTACTGTAATATAACTTTGAAAGACCGATTTGTGTGAAAGTTTCTTAAGCTGTAGTTCTTCTAATTATATTATCATTTAAATTCATTTATTTCAGCTACATATTTCACCCCAGTCACCTGTTTCTTGTGTTTCAACTTTTTTGCCATGTTTGGGAACATACTTGCAAACTGGATCAGATGGGTATTTGTATACAATTTTTATAAGTATTTTTTAAGGCATTTACTCCTTTATATTCTCTCATTTTCCTTATTTGTTGCTTATTGGTTGTTTTTTGTGATATTTTCATTCATTTTTTTGTATTTCTTTCAAATTTTTATTTTGTAAGCTAGTATTGTTGTTGCATATGTTCAATGAGGTTGTTCTGTTGTAGAAATACTTAATATTTCTAGGTGATGTAAGGGCTTAACTAAGTGTTAATATAATTTTTTAATGTAATTTTATTTTATCTGTACTCTGTTTTTAAATTTTTATCTTTTTTACTACTTTTTACTGTTACCACAGAATTTAAAACTATCAAAGCAGAGTTTGAGTGAGATTTAAAATGTTTCTCACAAAAGTATTAATGGACTATATTAAATTTTCATAATTAACCCAAAAGGAACAAAATAGTGCAACTTTAGATGTAAAAACTAAAAGAAAATTCTGATCAAAAACTATGTAAAGCTACATTATATAAAATTCTTCATCATTATCTTAGAGGGATGGAAAGAGAGTAAATTTAGGTGCATAAAGATGAACTTCTTGATCCAAAAAGCATATAAAGCTTCGTACTATGACATTTTTGGGTCTAGGTAAAAGCTGGACCAACATTATATGTGCCATTTAATCAACTTTTATTGCCATAAAAACAACACCCAATGCTGTTTTGTACTTCTTTCTACATACACAAAATAAAATTGTCATGAAATCTTACTTCATATTTTCAAAATTCATAAAAATGTTTCTGAACCAAAACAAAAGTTCTTAGACAGGCCGATTAATCAACACTGATGGCCATAAAAACAACACCCAATGCTTTTTTGTACTTCTTTCTACATACACACAAAATAAAATTATCATGAAATCTTACTTCATATTTTCATAATTCATAAAAATGTTTCTGAACCAAAACAAAAGTTCTTAGATAGGCCAATTAATCAACACTGATGGCCTTGAAAACCACACCAAACAATTCCTGGTACTTACTTCCATGTATGTCGACAGCATGAATCTTTTGTGAAGTCTTATTTCATATTTTCATAATTCATAAAATTTTGCATGACCAACACAAAAGTGCTCAGACAGGCCATTTAATCAACTCCAATTACCTTAAAAACTATCAAACCAATTTTAGCATCTTATCTGGGCACTTTTATGTTGGTTTGGCAACATTTGTACTTATAAAAAAAATAAAGAAATTTGCTACGATGATTATACTTGTTACCATTTAAACTATAGAGATAAAGTAATAGTGTGATATCAATTTTAAGTCAATTGGACTTGTTTTTGTGACCCATCTGAAAAATTGTACTTTTGTCTGGCTTTCACCCATTCCCAACATTCTTCATCATTAACCTAGATGGAAGGAAACAAGGGAACTTTAGATGCATAAAGACCAACTTCCTGATCAAAAACCATCTAAAGTGGTATTACATAACATTCTTCATCATTAAACTAGAAGGAAGGAAACAAGGGAACCTTAGATGCATAAAGACTAACTTCCTGATCAAAACTACATAAAGCTACATTATATAACATTCTTCATCATTAACCTAAAAGAAAGAAGGAAAAATGGAAATACCAGTACGATATCTTACCTACTCTCACAAAAAGCTTATTCGGGTTATACTGCCCCTATCAGCACAAATTTTCACTTGCCACTAGCCCTGATACTCCCACGTATTTCTGCATACTACCATGCAAATGATTATGCTGCAACCCTCCACCAACAGGAGTGCGACACTGCCCCTATTGTAACTAGTGCCCTCTCTAATCTTGTGGCTGTTAACCACTTCTTGATTGGCAGTCTTATTGAATATACATGTTTTCACTTGTAATTTCATTAAATTATCCACAAGCTTTTACTTTCTTAACTTTTCTGCTTTAATTACATCCTTCTTTACCATTTTCGTTCTCTTTTGTGGAGAGTTACGAATTATTTTATTTATCTTCTTTCCTATTTCAATTTTGTGAGTTAGTGCTTGTAGTTTCAGGTGGTCATGACCACAACTGCTCCAGCAGAATTACCTGTCATGTCCAACAGGTCAGAATGACAATTCACATCCCATGAAGTGACAGCTGTGGTCCAGCAGGAGCTGACTAATTTCATGCAACAATCAGAACAAACTTATGATTGTCCTATCGCAGTTTTCAGGGATTAGGAACTTTTGGATTTGGACAACGTTTTTTTCCCTCTCAGTCATGTGTCATTTTAGGGGACTTGCTCAGACCTCTTTCGTCTTCGGTGGATTTGATTATTTAGGTATGTTTTGCTCTGTCCTTATCTCCCAGTTCATATGCTCCACCCTGCTCTTCTCTGGGTCGTTCTTTTGGTATTTCCTCCTTCCCTGGATATTGGGGTTAATGAAAGTAATTTTATTTGCATTTGGGGTCAGTATGCTTCAACTCTCACACACTGTGGACAATCATGCTTTTGATTATCATCGCTCCTGCTTCCCTTATTTGGACTCACAGCATTTATTGTTGCTTCTCCCTTATTTGTCTTACTCTGACCAACCTTCTCAGGTCAAGGCTGGTGGGGGCCAGACTCCTTCAATATACCCACTTTTGGAGATTCTTGGTAGTCAATCCATGGGTTCTGAAAGTTGTTTCAGTAACTCTGGTCTTCTACTTCTATTCATATCCCCCATTGTCTCACAATCCCGTTTCTTTCCCTCTTCAGAATCCCGATTTTTTCCCTTATGATTCATTCCAGGGTCTTTCATTTCCCCCATTATATGGACGTCTGGCTGCTTCTTTCCTCCTTACAAAATGACTCAGTTCTACATCATCAATGTCTTCCCCAGAACACTTTCATGGTGGGTTGGCTTGTCAAATGCAGCAATTTTTCCTCACACAATATTTTGGTTTTTTTCGGTTGTTTTTCATCTCCCCCCTCCATTAGACCCTACCTGCTCAACTTCAGTTGTGAGCTATGGAATGTCTCATATGCAGCATCTTCTCCTCTCCTCATCTTTCTGTCTGAGAAGTTCTTTCTCTTTTGGGGACATGGGCTTCTCTCAAAGCCACCTTCCTCTTGGTTGCACTTTGTTGCATCATCATCAGTGAGTTTGATTGACGAATGGAGCCATGTTTGGCATCCTTTAGATGCTTCTCTTACCCTTCCCTCTCCCTTAAAGAGTGACTGGTGGTTGGATTGGAATAATGCTACTGTGAGTGTTCCTCTTTCTCCTCCTTGTCCAAGATGTCACCTTTTATGGATGCTTTTTTTTCTGGTTGGTGGGTGTATCTCAACTCTCAGGAAGTTACGGGGTGATGGTGTCGTTCCAATTCCTCTCTCCATATCAGTCTTGGAACTCCTTGTATTTCATCAGGCTTCCATCCTTCCTTCACTTCCAGCTGGCTTTTAGGGGCTGGTTGGTGATGGTTCACTCTGGCATTTCTATGATAGTTTTGAACGTCATCGGGCAAGGGGCACTTGATCAAGAAATCTTTGTTTTCTAACAATAGATTTTTGTGTTGGGCCCCACTGCTGTTCCATCACTTTGTTGGCATGTCATAATCAGGGTGCTCTAAATTTGGTTGCAAATCAGTTATCCTGTCCTGACAAGATTCACCCTGTGGAATGGTCCTTGGATCTACCTGTTTTTCAGAATTTGTGTGCTCTGTGGGATGTCTCAGATTTGGACACTTTTGCCACTCTTCTCAAAACCCCTACATCCCCGATTTTGGTCTAAATTTCCTTACCCTCTGGTCAGAGCAGTCAATGCTCTTAGCCAGGATTGGTCAGGTTGGTACCTATATGCATATCCTCATTATTTGTCTCCTACAATGTGTCCTTGCCATACTTCAGACCACTCTGTGACGTGTTCTACTACCGGTTATGTATTGGCCGGCTCACACGAGATTTCCACTGCTGTGCCGGTTTTTGGTGTCACCTACTTTTCTTTTCCTTTATCTCTGGCACTCCTCCATCAGCCACACTGGTGTGAATCATCCATCCGTAACTGAACCTCATCTTCATGCATGACTTTATCCAGTCTCTTGCCTGAAGGGCCAGATTTTCATTGTAGCTTCCTTCATTTTACATCTACATTGTAGCGACTTAGCTACAAACATGGTAAACGTACTGTTTTTAGTCTGTCATAATCGGTTATAGTCCTTCTCATCCTAAGGTTCCTTACAGATTGTCCTTTATGTCTTGAGTTTTTAAACGGGGCTTTTCGGTTTCCTCTGTTGTGCACTATAGGGTGGCATTATCTGCCACATTTGTATTTAACTTCCATCTTAGCTTAGAAATGGTGCAATCTCCCATGGGTATGTTGTTTTAGTTTCTTCTCACACCCCCCATTGTTTTCCTTTGGATGCTTCCTAAAGGAGGATCATTTTCTCACCTGCCCTCCATCGAATCAGTGTGGAATTTAGCTTATTGTGAGAGGAGGTAAGATATAAGATTTCATATCAGAAGTTAACATTTTCCTAAACTGATAATATATTTCCAATAGATACTTACCGCCTCTCACATTTCCCACCTGTCCTCCCCACTTCTGGTGTGGTTTGTGTGATCTGAAGTGGTTCATAGCTGCAAGATTAGAGAAGGTGCTAGTTATGATAGGAGTAGTGTCACACTTCTGTTGATGGAGAGTTGCTGTATAATCATTTGCATGGTAGTATGCAGAGATAAGAGAGAGTATCGAGGCTAGTGGCGAGTGAAAATTTGCACAAAAAGAGGGCAGTATAAGTTGAGAAAGCTGTGAGTTGTGAGTAGAGGTAAGCATCCATTGGAAATACATTTTAAGTTTAGGAAAATTTTAACTTTAGGTGTAGGGATACCAACTTCCTGATCAAAAAACTTCTAAAACTGCATTATAAAACATTCTTTATCATCAGTCTAGTGTGATCTGACATAGCATAAAACAACTTTTCTATTATCTACATAAGTTAATATAATGTATATCATAATCTAGAGAAACTTTAATTATCTTCGTTTTGACCCAGAACTTGCAATTTAACCAAGCTGATGTCCCTAAAATGTGGTTATTAATTTCCACATCATCAACTATCTGGTAGTACTAATTTTTCACTTTTGCATCATTTAGATTTGGGTTATTATTTTGTTGTCCATGTTTGACCTCTTTTGCTGTTTGTTTAAATCAAACATTGCTTTAAAGAAAAAGGCAAATTGTCTTGTGGTTCAGTTGTAAATCTGAGGGCTAATAATTTTAAATTTCATGGTTTGATCCCTGCAATAGGCACAGCTCAGATATCCCATTAAGTGACTTTGTGCTTAAACAAATATTTAAGTACACACACATATATATATAAGAAAACTGGAATATTCTTATTTGTATATACAGGTGAATCTTATTCATGTTTTGGTTATATATATATAAACCATACATCAGGCATGACCTAGTAGATTTTATACCTGGACTGTGAATTCAAATATTTATGGTATATGCCCCACTGCTTCAAATACAAAATGCATTCATTCTGCACTTAGGAGCTATGAGTGTGCTATAAGATTAATGGTCAAATACCACTATTCATTCAAACAAGAATGGCCTAAAAGTTAATGGTGGTTGGCTGTTGACTAACTGCCTTTCTTATAATATTTCTGCTCAAAATTATGGATGGATAATTTCAGATAGCCCTAATGTGGCTGTGCATGAAAACTATACTTTGCATGTAGCTCTTTGAGTGGCTATACTCTACACACTGTCCAGCTAGCTCAACTAGTTTGGATGCAAAGTTAAAGTCCCATATTTTCACCTTGTGTAAGATGGTAATTGACTTGCATGTACTAAGATGCTTGTATGAAAAATGTGAAGTTTTATCACATTTTTTAAAACCAACATATTTTTTTTTGCCTCATTAACTTCAACATTTAATATCACAAGTTCTCAAACTGAATATAGTCAACTCTTTAGATAAATTTCTGTCTTCATTTCCCTCAGATTAACTATGATTTCTGGTATCAACTGAAATCTTATCTCCTGCAAAGGGACTTATAGCAAGCAAACAATAGATCTGTTATGCTTTTTCTGCATATCTTTGGCTTGAAGTTCATAATGAACTGACTAATAGTATTTTGATAAAATCTGTAGTATAAGTGGTATTTGGTTAAAGAGAGGGAACTATTGCACCTTATACCAGACCTTTTTTCCAGCATTCATTACATGCTGACAACATCAAGAAAATGAGACTTCACAAAATATCCATGTAAGGAAAATTTGACTTGAAAAACGTTTTGAGCAGCAGTTTATCAACCTATTTCTATAGTGCATTTAATTTTCTATATAAAACTAAGGTATATATTGAGTAATATAACATTGAAATTCTCTTGTCATAAAAGAGCATTTTCATAATTATTTTCTCAGTCAAGGTGATATTTCTCAGTTCTAATACTTTCCAAAAGAATGCCTATTTTTTTTACAACTGATGTATTCATAATTCATTAATTATAATATTAGTTTCAACTAGTCTTTTCTCAGCCAGGACCTTGTTTCCTCTGGATACCGGTGTTTTTGAGGTCACTGATGATACCATATTTCATGCTTTGTAACTACAAACCTGACCACCGAGTCCTTCCAGTACTTATCAACAACGACTGGGCCTACATTGGCATGTCTGTGTTTCATGGACTGACCAGTGGCTACTGCAGTAGTTTGGCTATGATGTTTGTTCCATGGTAAGTAACTTGACTTTCAGTATCACTATTAAAACAGAATTATTCAACTTCGGGGTATTGTTAGTTTCTTTAGTATTGAATAGCTGACAAAAAGCCAAGAGCTAAGAAAAATTATTGTTAGACTGAATCTTCATTTATAAATGACACTGACCTTTTAACACATCACAGTTTTAAAAGTACTTAATACAGCACTGTCATTATAAAGAGCATCATTTCATCTGGCTTAAGAACACTATTGTTCTATTTCCTAGTCTGTCATCTAATGAGAGTATTATTATAAAGTATTATAAAGAACAGTGTTTCATCTGGCTTAAGAATACTATTGTTCTATTACTTAGTCTGTCATATAGCTTGAGAGCATTAATTTCTATGACATTATAACAATTTTCTCTTTTTAAAGTGAAAATTGCTGAGCATTAGCCAAAAAATTACTTTTCTCCAAACAAATTGTCACCATGTTCTCAATATAGTATAAATAACAATTTTATTTCAAATTTCAAACAAAGTTAAAACAAGGCATAAAAGATATTGTAAGTACAGATTTATGAAACAATTTTCATATGTTTCTTTATTACAACTAAAACCAAAATTTTTCTGTAAGGATCTAAATTAATTTTCAGACAGTCCTTTTTTTGTGCACATCCCCAATGTCTTATTTACTGTACAATATGCAAACAATGTGTACAGCTGTACATTGGATAAACAGGCTCCTGCCTTGGTGACAAGAATCTATGAACATCCTTGGTGATGGATGCCATTTCAGTAATACAGAACATAACTTCAGTGAGTTATTTTCAGTATAATTCAAGTGTGCATTGTCAGGTGTTGTTAAGAGAGAAGATGAAAAACCATCTTATTCATAATCTGTGAGACTTTTGTTCAAAATAACTGAATGAACACTTCTACTTTCAGTAAATTTAATGTTCTACAGCAAGAGATTTGTAAAATTTATATTAACATTTTTCTGCCAATGTTCCCATTTGGGAACATGATGTATTTTGAGATTAGTTACTGATATAATTCTAATTATATAAGAGTAATAATGTTTGGTTTAAGGTTTTATCAAATTTGCTTACATTCTGTAAAAGTTGTGATTCTACAAAAGTGTTGAAAATGTTAGGCTCACTGACTTGTTGACTGACGTCCTTCTTATACTTGAAAGGAAAATGTATTTAAGAAATTTTATGCATCTATGTAAATGATACTGTTATGTCTCTGGTCGTTAGTTAATTTTCCATAAAAATTCTTTCCAAAGAAACTTTAGTGATACAAGTCCTTTCTTAAATAAAACTGGTTTATTCTTTCTGAATACAACTTTGCAATACACTTAATTTCCACAGTCACGCTATAACAAATGCTGTAATTCACAATGAATGACACACATGCTCGACCCAACAGTACGTCTCTATCTCTGTCTGCAGTTCAATTACATTACATTGTTGCTGTCACTTTTTACCAGTCTTATATACAAGAATACTGCATATCTAGTAAACACTTGAGGCTTCAGGAAGGGACATGAACGTTCTAGAAGCGCACGACATGTTACTAGCGTCACGTGACCCCCGCTATTGAAACAATAGTATTCTTGAAAATAGTATGTCTTTTCAGTATTGATACTTTTATGTATTTTTATTGCACTTTTAATGTTTATTATGTTAATAAAAAAATTAGAAGCACAATTACCTATCATTTGTTACAAATACGTTTTTATTTCACCTGTCCAACAGATGGGTACTCCAGCTAGTTTGTTATAGCAAGGCATTTTGCAAACTTTACACTGATGTGCATAACTTGTGTTAGAAAAGTGTCATAAACTTCAGTGTTCTCAGATGGGAACATCAGGAACTTACATGCAGAAAATTACCAAGACATAAGAGGATGAAACTGCTTTACCTATTCTTTAGTTTATCTTGTCACTAAAAATATATGTGTTATTACATTTGATTCTGTGGTTGAGCTAGTGGAAACAAATTACAAAAAACATCCAGTGCCTGATTTCCATTATGGCAATGCAAATGTCTCACATGATTGGTTAATTTGTACATGTACATTCAAATCTGACTAATTTTGTGAGAACAAGTACCTGTAAACAAAGGTGATGATTAATTATTAGTTGTCATTTGTTATGTGAGTAATAAGCAGAAAACTTCAAGTATTTTATTTAAAAACTGTGATCCTGATGGTTGAATGGTGTCAGGGCCACTGCAACACATCACTTCGACTTTGAATTCCTGTAGATGAGTGGCCCTGGGATGCCCCTCCAGGGTTAATTGGGTAGTCCTATGTAGGTAGGATCAACTTAATGCTAATATAGGACATCCTTAATGGATGTTATAGAAATTATGTCTGGTGCTGGTGTTTAATATATGTATATATATATGTGTGTGTGGGGGTGTGTGCTGACACCACAATTAACTATCTGCTCTAGCATTTTCACAGCCTTGCCTTTCCCCTATATGGACTTCAATCCTGTTATCAAGATACAAGTTCACATCAGTTGGCAGTTGATCTGGTGTGAGTAACATAATAACAAGCTTATCCAGATAAAGCCTGCTGTTGCTGTTTAGCCATCTAGTTTCCATAAGAATCAGAGAGAGGAATTTATTTTGTGTAGGCTGCACATTGGCCACAGTTTCAAAACTCATTATTCTCTTTCACTAGGGACTTTATTACACTCAAGTCACATTTTCCCACCTTTTACTTTCATGCTGTTAGTACAACTGCCACTGGTGGCACTATTTTAGACATGTTTTATCTCAGTTGGATAGTGTCATTAATAGTTGTGACACTGTCTAGATTTATGGTATTTTTATCTTTTTACAGGACATTGGCCTTTTTAATTCCATTGAATTTGTTACTTTTATTTACAAGCAATGTTCAGTGTTTGGTGTAATTTATATTTTTTGCTTTTTTTTACTGTATTTTGGTTTTGTTTTTTTTATTTCAGAATTCCTATTGGTTTTTTTGGTAGTCTCATTTCTTTACATCAATAAACTCCAACCAATCAAAAAATGTTAAAAAAACATAGCTGCTCAACGGAAACTGTGAGTGGTATGAAATAGATAATATACATTCAATTTCTCCTACTGATAAACTTAACAGATTAAAGTATTTATTTTTCACATCTTGGCATGGAACTTATGAAAAAATTTTAAACATTCATCTTATTTTGATTTTCTTAAAAATAAATTCTACAATAGATCATTTTGGAAACTTTTACATACTGTATTTTGTACTTTTTCCTTGTTTTGTGTATTGTTGTACTGAGTTCATTGCTCTGTATATCCTACTTTACATTATTGTTTCTTGGGATAAGAAACATACAAGCTACATTCTTGTATATTTTTAGACTTTCTATTGTTCACTCTCTGTTTGCCCTAAAATGGGTTCCGCACTTTGTGGCCATTGGCTTGCTATAAGAGTGAAGTTAAACCTGTTATTTGATCAAAAAGAGTAGCTCAAAAGTTGACAATGGATGTGATGTCTAACTGCTTTCCCTCTAATCTATCAGCTCAAAATTAGGGACAGCTATATGCAGATAGTTCTTGAATTGCTTTGCACCATCTTTTGAAACATCATTTTTCCACAACAGAAGGAAATTATTAAAGTACTCAAAGTTTCTCTAAAATTTACATAAAATATCTGCTTAATTTCACAGTCATATGCTCTGGTACAAACAGAAGTACAGTTATAAGCACTAAATTTTATCTAACTTTTTAATATCAAAAGTGTTTTTAACTTTTGTCTAAAGTCAGGTGTTACCAGCTCCTCTTCTTTAAACTATAATATTGTTTATAAACTATTAGACCATGTATGAAACTAAAATATTATTTTAATCAATGATTGGAATAGGCATGGTTTGCTTGCATGCCATGTGCCATCATACTTGCCAACTTTTCAAAATTCTCATGAGAAAGATTTTGTGCAACTCGTGGCAAATCAAGCAATTTACAAGCACATGAACAATCACGCTTGGTTAAAATGATAAACACTTCTTATTTGTATAATTGGTTTTCATTGGCCAAGAAGAAAGTGAAGCCTGATTTCCGATATGAATCACGAGTTTACTCAGCAGATTTTGCTATAGAGAGTAAATGATTGGCTGACATTTACCAGGACATTTTTAATGTACGAAAAAAGATAATTATCGTTAAGCAAATCAGTAGACTTTCAGAAAATATTGGTGTACATGCCTAAAATCAGTAGAAATGACCAATTTTTAAACTCTTACCCAAATTGTGAGAGTTGGCAAGTATGTACCATTGTGACTTAAACTACATTTTTATCCCCCAAAATCTATATAAATTGCTTTAATTATTTGTCTTTAATAAAAAAAAAATGTTATATCATTTATTTTGTGGATGTAAAGAGTGATTTGAGCTGCTTGGCAGTACGTGCTACTGTTATATACCTATGTGTCATTCCACCAACTGCTCACCCTGTGTTGATAACTTCTGAAGTAATGTGAGTGTCAGCTGTTAAACATTTAATTATAAATACTTGGCTATTTAATTTGAAGGTTATACATGTGATGAGTATGTGAGCAAATGTTTATTTTCTGTACCATGTCACTGCAACATTTTATAATATACATCAGCTATTTACAATTTCTAATTTTGTTTTGTCCAACAGCATGACATAACATTCACATTTTCTTGTTTGTAATTATTTACTACAGGTCTGTAGAAAGAGAACACACTACCACAGCTGGAATGATGGCTGCCTTCTTCCTCATCCTTGGTGTCTTTTGTGGTGTTAACTTTTCTTTCTTCATCTCCTGGTTGGTAGAAACTCGGTTGTTTTGAGATTGACAACAATGGAATGTTGCAGCTAAGTAATAAAAATATAAATCAGTAGGTTTTAGGTGAAACTACTCTCCCATGCTGGCAGATATAATCTCTTGTTTTGTGACTTTATTGATTACGGTTATAATATTTAAAACAAAGTCAACATCCATTGTATAAGAAGCTCTATGTTGGTTAAATTGAACATTTATACAAAAAAGGAAGTTATTAATGAATCATTAGAATGAAGATTTAGGTTTTATGCTTTTTTCTATTCTTGTCAATTTCTAAATCACTTAAGGAAGAAATTGCATCATTTAATATGTGGAATTGAAAGGTCTTTTTACAGCATCAATTTTGTTTGATATTTGCTGCAATTGAATCATGTTACTCAACAGTTTTTGAACTTGCAAAGTATACCACATTAAGATGGTTCAAGGTTTGTCAGTATATTCAAACTGCCTACTTTGTCACTGGGAGAGACTTCATGAAGTCTGGCACTTTCTCTGAAGCTAGGCCTTTACCAGACTTCTGATGTATCTTTGTATACTCTGTTGAGCTACAGATAGTTACTGAATCATCACTGTATGCCAGTTTTTACTTTTCAATGTTGTGTTAACTCTGATTGCAGTTTGATGTATGTTAAGGTTAATGTCATAATTTGTTAAAGATATTTATTTGAGATATTGTGTTAAGCTTGTATTTAGGTGACACCTTTATAATTGAGAATTTTAAATCAATGTTTGAATGTATTCTTTATAGAATTTGATTTGTGAAATATGTATGGAATTATTGATTAGGCTGTTAGAGAGTGTATCTGTTGAGAGTCAGCAAGTTGTGCATAATTTTTACTGTGGTTAATTAATGTTTCATAAAAAGTACATGGGCTCATCATTAGCAAATGGAAAGTTTTTTTGCACGATGGCATTGATTAAATTATCTTTAGTCTTTAAACAATTAAAAAATAAGTAAAAACACTAAATAAAGCATTATGAGAGATTTCTGTTAATAAAGTTTTTATTTTTGGGTATGAAGAAACTGAAGTTTTAGAAACATTACTGTCAAGATGTGTATGTATGGCTTTTTTAAGGGATTTGAATCCAGAGAAAAAAGCACTTCTCTAGTGTGTAGGTGTAGTGGTCTGTAAAATTATTTTTGGCTGTTTTGGGGTTACCATACTTAATTGAGCAACTTTTTTTTCTAGTGTAAAACCATAAAATATATAAATAACAAATTTCTGTGTTTTTCTACCCTTTAAATGATTTTTAGTGAAACAGAGGTGTAAGAAGGAGATTGAGTTTCTCATTCCTATTTGACTAAGACAGTTACTCTGTACAGGTACACCAAAAAGTGGATTTTAGTGAGCCTTAGACTTGTTGTTAACACCCATATTTTACTGGCCTTATGCTTTGTCTTTTTATTAAAAGTTAAAATAACATGAGTAAATAGTTTCATCTGAAGCTTAATTCATCATGGACTTTTAATATGTATGCTGTAGGTAATTTCATACCACGAAGATCAAACTGATGCAGCAAAGCACTATTTCGCTAATAAATCACATGAGGATGACATGTTTAAAGTATGTGCAATATGAATAAGAATGGAAAGAAAGTTGTTATGACATAAAATATCATGGACTTAGAGTAAAAAGTTTCATCTCGAGCAATTTGCTGACATATGTAGTTCCATTTTATCAAGTGAAAGATACAAAGATGAAGAAAAAATGTTATCTTCAAAATGAAAGAAAGCATAACTTATTATGAGGATGGGTAGTAATGTTAATTATAACAATGAAGTTTGCAATAACTTTTCCAAATATAAACTACCTTTCCAATCTGATTGTCTGTGTAAATCTTGTTGAAGATGTTCTTCCAAACTTTGAGTCTTGCTGGTGTACATTTTTAATTTAATGTTAAGAAAGTGCAGGGCTGAGCTCAGCTCTAATGATTTTTGTTTTCTGTAAGCTTTCTTTCTGTCATAATATTAACCCATTCTTAGATGTGAAGATGTAATGCTTTACATATTACAACCAAATAAATGTTATCTGTGTATTTTAACTTCTATGGGATATTGACTGGTTACACAGTAAAATTCTGTTTTGTAGTAAATAAATCAACAACTATACTTATCATATATAATGAAGTAGTTAATATTTTACCAAATATAATAAACATTCAGTAATGTAATGTCAGACTTTAGACACTTTTGTATGTTTGAATGTTAAAAGATAAATGCTACATTCTTATACAGAGTAACCTGAAGGCTGACTATTAATGAAATAATTTAAGTAATAATTTCATGACTAAATGTTTCTTCTAGGTGGAAATAAAAACATTTTGAAATAAAATCTTCTAAAGACTTACTTGCATTAAATACAATAATAGGGATCCTGCATTCAGAAAGCACTGATGCATACAGCCTCACATCTGAAGTGGCCTAATGTCAGTACATTTTTTTTTTCTGTGCCACTCAATCATTCTCAAGATAACAGCTGATCACAAAATATCTCTGGTCACATTCACTTCAGAAGAGTTTGAGCATTTGATATATTGTTTTTGATTTAAGTAGATAGTTTGTCCTTATTGGATGTTAATGTTGTTTGAATCGAAGCTAGAAATTCAACTTCTGTGGCTTGATTGATGATTTCTAGAACTCAAGCTATAAAATATCAGTATTATTTTGTACATATATAGTAAAATAGAGTTCACTTCAATTTATCTTAATTATTTGTTTATTTATAACGACTGCATAAGAAAGAATAGGGGTGGGGTTGAAACAAGTGACTATACATGTGGGTGCTTTTTACATCCTAGTCACAGTACACTTGATGAAGTCAACCATGCCTGAGACTACTTGAGATACCCAGAACTTGAAAAATAAGAAGCTTCTTGTTGCAAGTTCTTTTAGTTTCAGCTTTGAATGTAGGATTTAATTTCAAGAACCTATGAGTGAAAGCAAAGAAGAATATATATAATAATATGTCAACCACACTATATCTGCTATATTCAGTGCCAAAGAGGACTTTTGCCCAATGCCAAAGTTCATTAGGCTGGCTGGAATATGACAGGTGTAGTAGTGATCTAGACACCATTTATATAATCAGATGCATGAACAACAACTGTTATGATGCCAACTAGATTAAATAAGCATAATTATTATCAGTTTATCTATGGAAATAAGTCATTGTGATCAAACTTCTGTGACTCTAAATGAACCTGATAAGGATTATCCTATAAATTATTGTTTGAAATATATATTCTTTTGGAATATTTCAATAGAAATTTTCAAATCTTAGATTACAGTCTCTTTTTTTATTAATTGGGATGCTTGTGATACACTAGAACAAACTTTGAGTTTTTACAAGAGGGCTTAAAATTACTTTTAGTTTAATGAATGAGATCACCATAATCTATCATTTTAAACTTTTTCCATTTTGTATTCTTACCATTGTTATACAGTATTCTTAAAATGTACCTATATATATGTAGTGTTTATAAGGAAGCTGGTGATCATAGATTGTTGATTAATTTCATGCCCTCTTCCACTGCAGCAAGTCAGGCCCAAATTGCCACTCTAATTGTAAAACGTTCTTGGTGAAACATGCCTTTAAACACTCATAGTTTCTACCTGACTTTTACAGGTAAACTTCTCACAAACTTTGATTCACTTTAAACTTTGGCCTCACCCCACAGATTTTGCTTCTCTCACCTGTGTTTCAGGAAATTATTTTTTATATCTCAAACAACAGTATTTTGTATGTTTTGCAAAATATATCATTTTTATATGAGATAGACCTTTTCTTAGAGTTATTACAAACCTACTTTTATTGGTATAGTATTATGGATTCCAAGGATACTTTATTTGCATTATTACTAATGCCTATGTAGAAATGCTCATTCTGGGGAAGTTTAAGGCATTTATTTGTATTAGAGTATTTTACTGTGTTATTTATTTTAATTTCATTTTGTAGGCCAGTAAGCTTATTTATTCAAAAAGTATGTATCTTATATGGTTTAATTTTTATTATTTTTACCTGTCAATAGAAAAGTCAGAGTGAGTAGTGAATAAGTATTGTTTTTTAGTTCGAAATATATATTCATTGAAATTAGTGGTCACTGTAAAATACATTTATACAGACTTGTTTACAGTGTTTGATATTAAATATTCATTCTCATAAACTCTACATAATTACCAAGATTCATCTATATATCTCTAGATCTTGTGATAAATTGCCTAAGGTAGTTTAACTTTTAAATCTGGTATCTTTCACATTGACTTAGCTTTTAAGATGACCTCAGATGAACAATTTTTTGTTTTTATGTACAAAACCTATCTAAGGAATAGTCATGCAGTTAAATTATTTTAATTTGCATTTTTGCATAAACCCAACTAATGTGTTTGTAGATTAGTGCATTTTTATTTCATATATATAGCTTGTTATTGTAAAAGTTAAAAAGTTTTGAAGTGGTTAATGTAGTAATATGATTATCTATATTATCCAGAACTTGCACAATAAAAATCAATTTATATGTATTTATAGTCTTGTTTCCAAATATAAGCATACCAAACTTCTCATCAACTTTCTATTTTATTGTTCTATTAGTCATTGTCAGTAGTAGATGTTCTGGTTTGGGTAGTTTATCACAAAGCTCCTCCCAGCTATCAGACACATGTATTGTAAACCTCCGAGAAAAAATAAATAACTGTATTCAATGACTTGAACAAAGTCGGTGTTTGGATACATGTTTGTTTGTTTTTTTTGCACAATGTGGAAATAATCTAGTGGGTCATTTTACTTCTCAGACCTCTAACTTGGGGGTGATGGACATATATTAAGACCAAATTTTGATTCTGTGTGTGGCATGAGATGTTTCAACCAGACTCATTGTTTTGATAAAAAGAGTATTTATGTTTAGCTTGCAAAACTGTTGGAACAATAAGAATTTTTCACTAACAAATAAAATACTCAGTAACTATCATACAAGGTTCAACTCATAGAAACATTAAACACTTGTTCAACATGTAATAACTGTTGTTTCAAAAGTTCACTACTATAACCACTGCATACAAGTTAATTGATTTCTTATAAGCTGTAAATAAATCAAAGGGACAAGACTCTAAAATTAATAATTTATACAAAAAAAAAGAAACCTCTGAGTATTAAAATATCTTAAAAATGCAACATGCAAGAAATGGATATGAGTTCACTGAGGTGTCTCTCCTCTGTTACCAAAAGTGAAACAATAATATAAACGATTGTATGGAAGAGAAAAGAAAGAAATTATTGAGTTTCTAATTCCAGTATATAAGGGTTTTTGTAGCAATGGAAAGCCAATAGCTGAATTGGAATGACATTATTAGCAGTAAAACATCATATTCAACCACTGTGTTCCTACTGTGAGACATCAAAGTTGCACAGCAGTAAAACATTATATTCAACCACTGTGTTCCTACTGTGAGACATCAAAGTTGCACAGCAGTAAAACATTATATTCAACCACTGTGTTCCTACTGTGAGACATCAAAATTGCACAGCAGTAAAACATTATATTCAACCACTGTGTTCCTACTGTGAGACATCAAAGCTACAGAGTGCACAGTGAAGTTACAAGACAGTAAAACATCATGTTCAACCACTGTATTCCTAATGGAAGAACTGAGGCATCAAGGTTCACAGTGTATAGTAAAGTTACATAGCAGTAAAACATTGTGTTCAACCACTGTGAGACATCAAAACTACAGAGTGCACAGTGAAGTTACAAGACAGTAAAACATCATGTTCAACCACTGTATTCCTAATGGAAGAACTGAGGCATCAAGGTTCACAGTGTATAGTAAAGTTACAAGACAGTAAAACATTATGTTCAACCACTGTATTCCTAATGGAAGAACTGAGGCATCAAGGTTCACAGTGTATAGTAAAGTTAGATAGCAGTAAAACATTGTGTTCAACCACTGTATTCCTAATGGAAGATCTGAAGCATCCGGGTTCACAGTGTATAGTAAAGTTACACAGCTGTTCCACCATCATGTTCCTACTGCAAGAATTGAGACATCAGTGTTATACAGTGTACTTCTGTGAATTTAATTTTCTCTGTATTTACTATTGGAATAAAGAACAATTGTCTGGATCTTGCTATGAAAATTAGGTTTAATGGAGTGTGCTGTAAAAACAGTAAGAAACATTGACTGCAAGAGGTATGTACAATAACAGCAAAAAAATAGGGCAACAGATATATATATGGTAAGAAAAGCCACAGACTAGTGCAAAAGTTATGTACAATAACAGCAAAAACTAGTGCAACAGATATATATATATGGTAAGTAAAGCAACAGACTAGTGCAAAAGTTATATATTTTATGCACAGCAACAAACTAGTGCAAGGGGTGTCTGGAATAATAGAAAAAAGTGGTGCAAGATTTATGTATAGTACGTAAAGCTACAAACTACTACAAGAGGTATTTACAATCACAGTGAAAAACTGGTGCAAGAGTTATGTATATAAAGCCAACAACTATTGTAAGAGGTATGTACAATGACAGTAAGAAACTAGTGCAAGAGTTATATATATACACCTGGAAAAAAGTTAAGCACCCCCGTGTTTTTTTCAAGTGATTCAGATTCGACGTTCTTGTGACTGATTATAAATTACCATTCAGTCTAAACGTGTTTATCAAATGAAATTATGCATTATTGGGCACAAGAAAACAAGATTATCCCCGTTAAAAACATATTTTTTATGTCAGTATCTTGGAAAT